ACCAAATCATTATTACAAATTAATTCTTTAATGGTTTCGGATGCCGTTATTAAAAACGGGGTCATTGTTTCTCTGCTATCTTGAACATGAATGAAACATTATTCCTTTTGATATCAAAACAAAAAGAAATATTATCTTTCGTCTTGCTAAATTTGAAAATTCTGATAAAATTCTTTTTTTTTTTGCACTTACTCATGTGTTTTAGATAGTTTCTCTTCTACCTCATCTTTTGTATTTTATTTATACTACCTGTAATTAATCAAAATATTTTTTGTACTTAATTTCCTATATATAATAATTAAACCATGCATTTACATATTTAACATCATATACACTAAATATCATTTTTTTATTTATATTATTATTATTATTATTATTTTCTTTTTTATTCTGTAATTAAATCTTTGCAAAACCATAAAAATTTAATAAAGTTCAAAAAAGAAAAAAGCCCCCCTTTATCCTTTTAATTCTTTGCACGTGCTTTGTTTGGTGGTGCAGAAATCAATTCGACGAAAATTAAAAAGTTTAACAAATGTGTGACCCTTAAAATAAAAATCGGAGAAGTTCTAAGATGTATTAAATGTAGATTAAATTCTAAAAATCGAAATCGAAAACAATAAAAAAAACTTTAAAAGTTTTTTTTTTTTTTTTTTTTTGTTTCTCCGATTTCGGTAACACGACCGGAAAATCTTATTAATTATACGTTCCTTTCCTTTATCAATCAAATCAAACCTTAATTTTATCCGTTATGGATTTGGCAAAAATTTTCGATAAAATTTTCAAAAAAGGAATTGGAAGAACCTACTTTACAAAGAACCCTAGAGATAGGGATTGGAACTACCAAAATCTGCCAAGATAATTGCCAATGTCATCCAGATGCTGATCAAATTCTGCTAAAATTAGAAACTGATTTGAAAGTCGGGGCTGGATCTTTGAAAAAGATTTGATAATCGTTAATCGTTACCAATCTCTGTTAGAGTTGAAGAAGAATGTTAGTGTTGAAGAATTTCAGTGTTTCCCTTTTTTTTAAAAAAAAAAAAAAAATTCTCGCGACATTTTTTTAAATTTTATTTTTTATTTTACAAAATCAAAAATTCTTTCATATAAACAATGTTTATTTGTTAACAAATGTAAAATGAATTGAAAGTCTATTAGAACGAATAAAAAGTTTCTTGTACGCTATGAATACAGTATTGGTATAATATAATTTACCTTTTCTAATTTACGATAAATTCTTTATTATATTAAATTACCAATTTCTACTTTACTCACACATTGATATTAACAAATACATACATATTCCGGTCTTTTCCCATAAGACCCGCTTTACAGTAAATCTTAAACTAGTTAAAAATAAGGAAAAAAAAAGATATCATATATTGATAATAAATTCGTTGTTATTCAAAGGATTTTGTACATTACTTTCAAATAAAATATAATTTACAGAGTAAAGAAAGATGTACGCTATCGAAAGAAATAAAGCTATGTTTTCCATGTAAGCAAATATGGCCATTTTAAAGAATTCCCATTTCATGTATACTTGAAATCCTTCGTGAAGCATTTTTGTTTTAATTGGATTTATTTATAAATTTCTTTTTTTTTTTGTTTAGAGGATGTTATATATGACGTTGATGCGTCTTTGTTTTTAAATTGATGAATTTGGCCAGAAATTCGGATATAAACTTTTTTAACCCGCGGGGAGTTTTTTTCTTTATAACGAATTAGTGAAGGTTTAGAAGGTTTAATTTGATATTTCAAAGAACTTTTTTTTTTTTTTTTTTGAAAGTTTCGAAATTCTCAAAAGCTTCAATATATATTAAAATAAGTATTTTGTGCACCAATAAACACAAATCTGTACCAAGAACAAGAAAGTCGGTATTTAATCTAAAAAAAAGTAGCCTAGAAACCAATTAAATTTCAGAAATGCATAATTTCATTTGCGCAAACTTTTGTGGTAATATTTTGTAAATATTAACATTTTTTTGCACATTTAATTTTTTTTTTTTACAAGATATTATAAAGATATTATGAAGAAAAAATAAAATAAAGAATAAAAATAAAGAACAAATAAATCTTTTACAATTGCGAAACCAAAATTTAAGGAGTCTTTATGGACCTTCGTTTTATATATATAAAAAAAACCTTTGACTATAAAAAACATATTAAAATACATGCTTACCAATTTGGTGTGCGTCGTCTTAGAAGTTACCAAAACTATCGTACAAAATCGAAATTTTTTATTTTACCCTCAAACATTTAAAATGGTTACCCGACCTTTATTGAATGTAACGATTCGCATAATTCTCACGAAAACCTTGAGAGTTATTGCATATTGATTGTTTTATTGTAACCTTATCAAAAAAAAATGTACATGCAAAACTTTTTTAATAGATCGATATTTTTAAAATTTAACTATATCGGTACCAAAATCATCCAAAATTATTGATATGTAGATTATGGTTTTTTTTTTTCCTTTATTCTCAAGGTCAATCGATACGGTGTACAAAAGTTACACCCCTAACGTATTGTGTGGCGTAGCAACATTGGTATTGTCTTTAATTATTGTTCTTTAAAAAGTTTACGAAAATGAACTTTTAACATTTAAAAAATTAAATTATTCTCAAAAATAAACCTTGGATGTATGATGTAATTGTGCATGAAAAAAATTCTTAAAGAATCTTTGAATAAAAAATCCAGTTTTCTTTCAAGTAAACATTTCAAATATGAAAAACCGGTTACATTCGATCCATTATATAAATGAAAATCACAATATTCCCAAATATAGTACAGGAAAAAAAAAACGCCATTACTTTTATAGACATTCCAATGATTTTAAAGTCTGAGAATTATCCTTTGGCGTTTAGAAGGGCGGAATTGCTTGCTTCTCATCATTTAAATAATGGATTTGTTTGCTTTGTGTGACAACCCATTGAGATTACCAATTTTGTATTACAGGGAATGAAAACTTTTACGCGTTAGACACATGATTTTCGCTTAAAGTTTCGAACCAATGCATTAATCCTTATGAGAATGATGATCATACCGAAAAATACGTTGAAAAAAAAAAAGTAAAATTCTATTGAAAGAGATAGGAAAGAATCAACATATCAAAACAAAACAAAAAGATCCAAAAAAGTGAGTAATTATATATTCGACAATAATCTTATTTAATTAATCAATGCGGTAATTTTTTTTCTTCACAAATGGTTTATTTTAGAAGTTTATTGTAATAATGGTTGTTGGCTTGTAACATCATAGCATCATATATATATATAACTTTATATATTGAATTGACAATTTGTCAATGAAAAATTCATTCCTATCCATAAACCGTTAAAATATAAAAAAAATAAAAGGATTTACATTTATTTTCATCTTGAACGAAACTCAACATAACTTTCACGATGCATGGATATGGGATAATCGGAATACCAACGACTGCTATCAAGATTTTTGCCGGATATTGCATCTTTGTGTACGCAATTGCTATCACAAACGTATTATACATCTGTTATAATTTTTATAATCGTTTAATTCCACAAAACACAGAAACTTTATTTATTGGAAATGATAGTTATTCTATTATTTTATCAAGTTCGTTTTCGGTTGATTTAATAAATTGATAACTCGTTGAAATTTGAAAAAGATTTAAATTTATGTAATATAGATTTGTATGTAGCAAATATTTAGATTCAAGAATGAGAAAATCTAAAAAGTTCTTTAGGTTTTGAAATCGTTATGTATATGCTGTGAGATTTTTTTATGGCGATTACTGTAATTAAAGAAATTAAAGACTAGAATAGGTTAATTATCCTGTATATTTTGTATATTTAGTCAATTTCCTCTTTTCATTTTATTTTGAAAGAATGTTTCAATGGAAATAAAATTTATGAAAACATTATAAACGATTTAAAAATAATCCGATATATTACGTAATAAACGCGAACGAAATTTTATTATCAAGAATTTGATTGGATGAAATTTTTTACCAATCATTCACTTTGATGCCTTTTTATCATGTGATGGTGAATGATGAAAACTTGTGAGTTTAGACCCACCGTGTTTCATTTTTACCAAGAAACCGAGATACAGATAGATAAATTGTTTTTTATACTAAAATGATAAATCCTTCCCATTATGTTTCATATAGCGTAGAAAAATCTTTTAATAAAATACAATTTCGGCTTAATATACAGTAATTAATATCATTCAATTTAAATAATGATTGGTAATAAAATAATAAAGGTGTTAAAGGAAAGGAAATACGATAACCCTTTTTGTTGAAACTAAATGAGGCAGGTTATAAATATAACGCAATCCTTATTTCAATGGACGGAACGGAATGGGTATATAAAGTAACGGAAAATCACGATAATTTTTATTTTTTTCAATGATAATTTTGACTAGGATTAATTTATACTTTAATGAGTTGCCATACTCATATAATAAATTATAACCCGTGAAAATCCTGCTTAATTTGAAATATTATTATGTCAATCCGCTCTTTCCTAAAAAAAAAAAATACATGAATTTTTTTGTATTAGGACATTATTTATCTAGGTTGGTTGAGATAAACGCGTCGCCATCTTGGTGGTTTTTTTTTAAATCGGGTTAAAACTTTTGAAACGTGAATAATTAAAAACAACAAAAAAAAAAAAAGATCGAGATGTAGATGCAGTTAGTGGATTTATGATCTTTGATGTAATTTTGGACAAATAAAATCGCCTTTTTTGGAAGGTAAAACTGAGTAACTTAATTTTTTTGGTGATTCATTGACAAAACGTATGTAGGAAGGAGGTCAGGTGTAAAACATTTGAGGTCATGTGCTGTCCCTTGCCAAATATATCATATAATTATCACAAAAAAAGCGTCAATACAGATGAGGCAAATAATTTTTAATAGATTCATCTGCGGGATTTTTTTCTTTATCAAAACATTTTATTTATGAAAAGGTCTATATGCATGCATATATATATATATATATAACTATTTATACACTGTCAACAGAGTTTTGGTAAATTCTCATCTAAATATCTTAAAATTAATATTACATAAATATACAAAAAAAAAATTATCTGTTATCAGATCTAATGCATGACCATGAAGTAGGTTCCGGTATATGGATCTCTTGTAATTCCATAACTCTTGATTATAATGTCCCATGTATCCAATTGAAATTGCGATTTAACCTGTGATATAAATGAAATTGTTCAAAAAAGAATAATTTTAATATTTCCTTTTTTGTCGTCTTTTAATTTTAATTTTAAATTTTTTTTTTTCGTTGTCAACACACCTTATGCAAAAAATGTCCAGGAAATTTGGCATACACAATTGATTCATCGATTTTCTTCAATAAAACTTCAACACCGGTTCCATTTCTTTTCCAATTATTATTTTCATAATCCCATTCAACGATATAACCATCCATCCAATTAGCAATGAACATTTCTTCTTCGAAAAATCTTATATTAATCATTCTCTCATAAGGTATCCATTCGACCACTTCGGATGGTCTACCGGCATTTTCTTGTGTATTAACAATATACTCATCAACCATTTTATTGCCACTTGTCCATTTTTTATCTTCATGTCGTTGTATAAACCTTTTTGAATTACATGGTAGACACCAATTCATAAATGTATTGGATCTATTACAATGCTTACATATCCCATAAATATTGGGAAATGTAATTGGAACATGAACGTACGGAATTTCACTTTCTTCGTCGACAATTCCTTTTGCTAATAATTCTGGATCCAGATCTCCTTGATGTTCCTCTGCATCTCTTGATGCCATGTCGATAAAGTATGTTAAATGCTAAAAAAAAAAAATAAAGTTTATTTCCATTTAATATTACTTCTACGCGTGCATAGTAAAAACGACTATTAGGATAACTCACTCTTATCATCTTGAAAAGTAAATGGAAAAAAATATATTTTAATAGTGGTTCCCAATCTGTTTGAAAAAAAAATTGAAATGAAAAACTCACGATACCTTCTTACTTTTTATATGTTAAAAAAAAGCTAAATACAGATAATACAGATTCGTCAGTTCATGTAACAAATAGTCTTGGTTTATCGATAAAAGGCGTGAGAACTATCACGTCATCGCTCCATGCATTTGCTTATTCCTATTAAGGAAATTTTTTATATCTGTTCATTGTTGATAATGACACCTTTTTTCAACCTCTTTCACTTTAAAAGCTTTGGTCATATCATCAGGTGTTACAAGGTCATCAAACACTATTATTAACCCTTCTTGGGTATCCCCGTCGGGAAAATTGCTAGAGTGTTAGTGTTTAAATTAAATATGACAACTTTATGAGTCATGCACTTTGCTTAAAATTGACAAAATCATAAATATTTTTGTCAAACAAATGAAAGTAAATGAGCAATGAATGGAAAATTGCCAAGAATAAAGCGCCGATCAGAACTAAAAATATAAATGAAAATCAAATTCAATACAGTGGTTTCCGCGTGATCATTTTAAGAATATTACCCGAACGCATTTTTGCGAATAACTATCCATAAAACAATTGGGGAGGAAAAGAAAGCGAAAGTGAAGATAGTGGGTGAGTAAGGAAAGTATCAGGTTGCGAAAAAGAGAGAATAACGAAACATTCTATCGTTTCAAAATACAATATATGGACTTTTATATCTTTATTGGGGCGGAGTAGAGTCACGTGATGGTTATGATGTCCGTGATTGGTCTGTGATGACGACGATTGTGATTGGTTGGGATTCACGCATTATTTTTAGCCACATTTTCGATAGCATAATGGACATTCGTTATATCACGAGATCACGAGGTGATAAAATCAAATGTCGATCTTTTTATCTTGTGTAACATTTGATGTCGATCGATTTAAAGTAATAAAAAAAGATGCGATATATTTTCAAAAACTAATTTATCGATGTGCAGTTTTTTTTTCATTAATATGTCGTTTGTTCTTTTCTTTACATTTGGGTAAAAAAGATCTGGGAGATCTTTGCCATAGCGAAACTTAGATGAAAGCTAAAGTTTAAGGTATTATTAATTAATATATGAATATTAAAATATATTTTTTATAAAATTCTAAAGCATTTTTAAAGTCTACCAATATTTTTTCTTCTTCTTCCTCTTCTTTGTTTCATTATCTAATACTTCATCATCTAATAAACTATTATTAATATTATCATCTCTTTCTAATCTTTTTATATAGGAGCTTACATTAAAGACAATACCCTTTTTATATAATTCAAAACAATAATTATACATATTATTTGTTCTGCAAAACATTTGTGATGAAAGCTTGTTCACATATCAACATTACACTTACTTTTTAATCTAAACATTTAAACTAGGTAACAGGAACCATTAGGAGCGTCCGAAGCGTTAATCAACATAAAGATAACCTTAATACTGTTTATTTATAAAGTAAAAATACGATTAATTAAAAAAATATCTGTATTACTAAATTAAAAATTATCAATTCCTAACTTTATTAGAATAATGATTGACAGAAATGTGATTGGCAGATCACGCATCATGACAGAATTCACATGCATAGTTTCAACTTTAACCGGAAATGTTTTACGCTTACGCTTCAGACAATTATTGATTATATTAATTTTGATATATATTAGTTGTTATAGCTTAAATTAAACAATATTTGGATCATTTTTATTATAATCCTTACTTTAGATAGACTATTATTAATATCTATTTACTAATGACTATCATAAAATATAAATTTATTTAATGAATACTTTTATTTTAATTAATTAAAAAGTTTTTTTAAAAAAGAAGCCAATAATTTTATTTTTTTTATAAGTAAAAAAATTAGATTTTCTTTTCTAGTAAATTATATGCTGATCAATTTCATACCAATCAAAATCAATTTTTATATGATATTTCAAAAAATATTTCAACTAATAAAATCGCAAGAAATTAAATATCTATTATGCTATTTTTGATTTTGTCTTTTTTAATGTTAAAGAAAACTTTGCAAATGATTAACATAACGAATGTAAGGTATTTGTTACTTAGCAGGCAAAATACTACATGCAGGCACTATAAACAGGTTTTACGAAATTGTATAAGTAAAGTTTTTATTGTTCAATTTTATTTGTTTCTATAAGAAGTTTAAAAAAAGAGACTAATTTTTTTTCATTTTTAATTTTTTTTCTTTTAACGTTAAAAAAAAAGAAAAAAATTACTTTTAATACCTGCTATTTCTTCAGAAATTAAGTTTGCTGCTACTTTTTCAAAGTTTGGGTTTATTGCCACTTTTTCAGAAATTGAGTTTGCTATTACTTCTTCAGAGTTTGAGTTTGCTGCTACTTTTTTTAAAGGTTAACTTTCAGAAGTTAGGTTTGCTACTTTTTTAAAGGTTAAGTCCAGTTATTAAATTAACTGCTAACTTTATATCAGATTTAATATTTTAATATAAGTAATATATATGTCGCTCTTGAAATTACCTTTATTTAATACATTTTTTAATAAAATTTTTATTCTAACAGATTAAATAAAATTTCTATTATATTTATAATAGAAAAACCAACAGAACCTTTGTCACTAGATGAAAAATGGAATTTTCTTTTAATTTAAACTATTTTTTGGAAATTCCAATAGGAGATTTTAATAAAGTTTGGTGACCATTAATTTCAAATGTCTAGACACAATAAAACTCATATAAATAAGCAAATGTAATACTTAGAAAGTTTTTGCTTACCGTTTTATGAAACATCAGGAATCAAATACATAACAAAAAGAAAATATTCTAAATAAAAAATGATGAATAACAAAAACACAACCATCTGATTTATATCTTACAAAAATTAAAGTTTCTTGGTTATTCTCATCAAATATGATCAAAGTTAAACAATATAAAAACTCTTCCAATCATATACATTCCTTAATAGAAGTTAATAGATTTAAAAGTTCACAAACTATCTGAACTTTAGTTAAACAAGAAGCATCTAAAAATTATTTATCTTCAGCAATTACATCCACTATTAAAGAATATGTAATAACTAAATTAGGTCTTGATGCAAGTATATACAAGAATTAAAAAAAAAAGTAATTAATATCAAATATAAAGCTTGTGGACCTATAGAAGCTCATTTTATTGGTGATTCTGATTTAGGATCAGATATTTTACAATCTATGTCTTATTTAATAAAAAAAGGATTTCATGTTGAAAATTATAATGTTTTTTACAAATCTACAAAGAGTATTATATTTGCACATCCTAAATAACTAAAAAAACTTCAGCATTATAGATGGTTGATACTTATTGATTCAACTGACAAAACTAACAGATATGATTAGCGTCTTTTTACTTTATATATTCGTGATACTTAAAGATGTTGGAATGTAGGTGCTCATTTTTTTGTGAGTAGTAAAGATGGTGATACTATTTCAAAGGCATTAACAATAGTTTGTAATTATCATCATTAGTCTCCTTATTATATTTTAATAGATCAAAGTAGTATTGAAGCTAAAAGCGTCAAAAAAGCTTTTCCTGATATAAATGCTGATAAACAAGAATGTAAAGTAATTCTTTACATTATTTATATTATGAGAATATAGATGTCAAAAATCTATGAAAAAGCAACCCGTAATATTATAATTGCAGCAATATATAAAAGAATAAAAATTAGTTGTAAAAACCTTATACAAAATGCTATCAACAATTATACTGTTCTCACTATTCAAAATAATATTAGAAGAAATTATATGAAAAATATATAGCCATAGGCATTATAAGCACATCAACATTTTCTTTTACTTTTAAAGTCACTTTTACAAATCCATTAGAATTTTATCATAGTGAATTAAAAAGAATTATATTTTTACTACATGGTTTAATTGGTATGTTTTTTTTTGTCTTATTTATTTAATTATTTTTTATTTATTTAAATACTATTCATAATATTATTAATATTTATTGTAAAAAAACAATCTGATTCTAAAAGGTTTGCTTTTGATTTTCATACCAAGAAAATATCTACTTATGATGTAGAAAGTAATATTATTGAAGAAATTCACAAATTTCCTCTTTTATTTCAATATTTACTTATCAAAGAGGATTGTGATGTAATAGATAGAATTGAGAAAGGTAAAGGTGTGTTAGATTTAACTTTATTTGATTGTTATTGTTTATTTTACAATCGATATTTATTACTATATAAACATATTTTTCATGAATATATGTATAGTAATATAAAATTATTGACCATCAATACATGGAGAATGTTTCAAAAAATATTTAAAGAGAGTGGGTTTGAAGTATATGAAAGTCATGAATTAGTAACAGAATTTGTGCAAACAGAATAACAAAAAAATACTGAAAATTGAAAACTTATCATAGTTGATTTAACTGAAAGAATACGTGATAGATATTAAAGTATTGAAGAAATAGGTGATGTTGAAAAAACAGAAACTTTTATTTCTCTGTTAGAAATCTCTATAAATTCAATTATTAATTTGATAAAAATAAAAAAATAATTATTAAGTTAATAAATAAATAAATGCATTGTTTAAAATTAATTTCTGATTTTTATTAATCAATCATAATCATTATTCAAATAGATCGATCACAGACATAATAACCATCACGTGACTCTACTCTGCTTTAGATAATCCCAAAATTAGGTATCTGCTACGTAAATTTAATACTAAGTTTAGTTAAATTTATATCTTACTATGTATTTCTAAATATAACTAATCTAAAATTAAACTATTGGTTAAGTAAATAAAAATCTCATGTGTAATAAAAATTCTTATGACCATTAAGCAAATATAAATTCAACATATTTGTATATTATTCAGGTCCTATTGCAAATTCAACATTTCATATCTCAATCCGACAATCAAATAGGTTAAATATAATAAGAATGCAAATATAGAGCATATCTTTGATAATTAAGAGAGAAATAAATATGGATTACAAGTTCAGCATTTTGTGTTTCAATCTGGCAATCAAGTAGGAATATAAAAGTAAGATTGCAAGTAAATTCAGTATCTAAGCTGGCATAAAAATGATCTAGAACTAACAAATTAATAAAACTATTCTAGCTGCCTACTAGTATTTTATCAGTTCCTAACCAGCTTCATGATACTGCCATGATGCTAACATAGCGTCGAATTAGATTCTCAAATTACATGCCTAAAAGATTGATTAGAGTTATAATATAGAGTTGGTTAAAATTAATCATAAATATATTATATCACTGACACAATTTTTTTATCATAATTTGATATTTAAACCAGCAATCAAGCAAGTGCAGAGGTAAGCAGCCTAATAAAGAATCTGATATCCAATTAGATATAGAAAGCCAGCATTCTCTACATAAAACTAGGTATTTAAATAGCTACAGATCACCATTAATAAGCAAATATTTATTTAACAATTGGATAACTATAAACATTTACCATCACAAATTATAATAGAAAGTATCTATCAATGTATAGCACATAATAAAATAGGTGTATTCAGATTATTTAAACATAAATGTATTTAGGTTATTTAATCATATGATCACAATTAATAAATAGAAAAGAATAAAGAAAAGTGATTTCAAAGGCAAGGAATATCATAAGAAAAATAAGAAGATATAAAAAATTGTTATACTTAAGTTATTTAATTAGATTATTTAATCATATTTAGGTTATTAACTTTTAGATTATTTAGTTATATTTAAATTATTTAGTAATATTTAGATTATTTAGTTATATCTAAGTTATTTTATTACTAAATAACTAGTCTAAACTGAATATGATTAAATAATATAATTATATTATTTAGTCATATTTAGCTGCATTAGTTATCAAGAAAACAGATTTTGATATAATTGTTACTTTTCAGAATCTTGATTTTAAAGAAGCTAAAAATCTTAAGTTTGATTAAAAATGCTTTATCTTAGATATTATGACACTTAAACATTTCTATATGCGAAATATTTATGGTAATAAAGATATAAACAATAAGATTTGAGATAATCTTTGCAATAAAAAGTTTGTAAAACATTTCAGTCTGTCCAAATTTTAGAAACATTTCTTGTGATGATCTCACTTTTAAAAGTAAGGTTATGGTAAGAAAAAGGCAACAAAGGGATTAAAGACTAAAGATATTACATAATAGGAAGATACTTGTTATAAAGCTGAAGAAAATCTGGAAAAATCAGTGATAGAGAATTTGTGTAAATTTTATTCTGCAAATCATTGAAAGGGTTATAAATGAACTCTTTAAATTTTAGGCTTTACCAACATTAATGATAAATGTATTCTTTCTGGTAATATTGTATCAAAAGCATTCGTATAATTCTATAAAAAATTTATAGAAATCTGTAATCAATTCTTATTACTCTTGATTTTAAGTTTTATACTAAGACAATACCAGATCTTAATTTAGATATAAAAGTAATCAATGCAATTACTGGTAATTAATATGGTTATACTATTAAAAGTAATCAAAAAAGAATAGGTCTCAAAAAAGCGGGTTTAGAAATACTCTTATCAAATTAATTGTTAATCATATAATGATTTTAGTTTTAGAGATAAAGGCGCACAAGAGTTTTCATTATATTGATCAGATAAAATGCTTCAAAATCTCTTTAATTCTATAAGGTAATGCTTTAACCCAGATCATTATTTAGTTAAGATAAGTATCTTGATCACATCAGATGATTCCTTTGGGATTGATTCTGTTCTAACCCTCTTAAATTGATTTTATCAAATATTTGATTTCAATTTGATTTGATTTGATTTGAGGAACCTTAAATTTAATAACACACATATAATTATAGCATAATAAACATTTAATTTCTTACGATTTTATTGGTTGAAATATTTTTTGAAATATTACATAAACATTGATTTTGATTGATATGAAATTGATCAGTATATAATTTACTAGAAAAGAAAATCTAATTTTTTTACTTATAAAAAAAATAAAATGATTGGCTTCTTTTTTAAAAAAATTCTTTAATTTATTAAAATAAAAATATTCATTAATAAATTTATTTTTATGATAGTCATTAGTAAATAGATATTAATAATAATCCATCTAAAGTTAAGGATTATAATAAATTATCCAAATATTATTGAATTTAGGCTATAAAAACTAATATATATCAAAATTAATATAATCAATAATTTAAATGTTTAGATTAAAAAGTAAGTGTAATGTTGATATGTGAACAAGCTTTTCATCACAATTGTTTTGCAAAACAAAATAATAAGTATAATTATTGTTTTGAATTATATAAAAAGGGTGTTGTCTTAATGTAAGCTCCTATATAAAAAGATTAGAAAGAGATGATAATATTAATAATAGTTTATTAGATGATGAAATATTAGATAATGAAACAAAGAAGAGGAAGAAGAAGAAGAAGAAAATGAAGTAATAGAAGAAAAAATATTGGTAGACTTTAAAAATGCTTTAGAATTTATAAAAATATATTTTAATATTCATATATTAATTAATAATACCTTAAACTTTAGCTTTCATCTAAGTTTCGCTATGGCGGAGATCTCCCAGATCTTTTTTTACCCAAATGTAAAGAAAAGAACGAACGACATATTAATGAAAAAAAAAACTGACTACGATAAATTAGTTTTTGATCTTGTATCTTGACTAATAAATTAATTAGTTTTCAGATGTGGGATTGTGCATTTTAATACACGTTGAGTCGCTAGTAAATATCAATTTAGAAGATTAATCATTTTTAGCATTTAACGGACCACATTATCAGAGGTTTCTCTACCTTTTTTTTTTTATAATCACAACTTTATTAATTCATAAATATCATTTTGATGTTTATTTTTACAGTATAATTAATTTTTATTACGGCACGCAACTTCGACACGCGAGTTTATTTTCTAGCCATGCTTTGTTATTAGGTAAATACTAAGAAATAAGAGTGAAATTAAATAACTATACATGTAGACTGATTTTGAAAAACTAATTTGTACAGATTTGAAAAATATTATATAAAAGTTATGCAGATAAAGATATTAGAGATTAAACTATTGTCCCCGATTTTTTTTTAATGTTTCTTTTTTCGAAAACTAAATTTAGATTTATCACTATGGCCGGAAAGTTTACCAAAAATAGCCGAAGCTCTGTTACCATGTTTCGTAGAACCATTACTACCGCTACTACCGCTACTACTATTACTCCCAACACTTCCACTACTTCGACTTTCTTTGGATGATGGAGAAAAAACCAATTTAATATGTAATTGAGCATTCGTTCCTTTTGATAAATTTACCCAAAAATCTTTAATATTTGCATCAGGATTTATATGATCCCATAAATGTAAATCGTATTCTCCTAATTCTACATCTTTTGATAATAAATTACGATCTCGAACGCAAAATAAGAACGATATCGGTGAACCTGTTAATCCTGAAATTGTTACTTGATCGTTCCTATATAATTTGAAAAGGAAAGGTTTTAAAGAAAATATATAATTTACATTGAAATGATGATAAAAATAAAAAAAAATACATACCATTTTGGAGAAATGGATTTCTTTATTACAGATGTTTTAAGAATTTCTTTTTTGCCGTTTACTTTCACTTTTACGTAGGGAAAACTTGTATTCTGATCACTAACATTCTTCGCTTCAATTACAACTATTGTCAAGTCTCCAGGTTCACCAATAATTTCTATAATAAAAAAAAAGAGAGAAAAAAGTTATTAACAATAATAATACATATAAAAAATTTCAATGATGTTAATTAAATACACACCACCATCCTGGTTTATGCTATATGAAGATAATCTTTTTGATCTATCAATCGGTACTATAATATAAATAAATTATTGAGTTATTTAAAATAAGTTATGAATAATATATATATATATTTTTTATAGCTTACCATTTTCATCGCTAGATCTAGAACCATCATTTTGGTCTTTCTTAATATTCTTAATTTCAACAGATTTTGATGTTGGTTGATCTACAAATTCAATGTGTCTTGATGTTCTGGAACTTTCTTTTTCCTCTTCTTGTTTTTGTATTTCTTCTTTTTTAGAATCATCTACTTTGAATTCCACATTATATGGTTTTATTCCATCAATTTCTTTCGCTTGCTTTGATTCATCTCTAATCTGTGGTTTAGGTAATATAGGTTCTTCTTTAACCTCCTGTTTGGCAAGAATTCCATTGGTTTCGCCAATTGGTTTTGCTTCCTCAGGTTTATGAACAATTTCAGCGCTACCTTCTCTCTTAGAAATCCCTTCTTCGGGAATAACTTTTTCTAAATTAGATATCTCCGGAATAACACGTTCATCTACACTAACTTCTCTAGGAATCACCTTTTCCTTCTTGCTCTTTTTATTTTCATCTTTATCTTTCTTTTTCAACAATCCACCAACTTTACCAACACTATTTCCAACGATATGACCTACACCATTAACTCCTGAACTAATGCCGACTCCAACGGTACTACCTAAATCACTAAAAGTTTTCGTTGGGCCCGTTTTTTGTTTCTTTTTAGTTAAAATTTCTGGATGAAATGTTATCGATAACGTTACCAATGAGTCTTTTTGTGTGGAATTAATATCGTTCTTTAAAGGAATTTTTTGAGTAGACGTGGTGGGGGATAAATTTGTGAGTGGAATTTCTCCACTTGCTATTAACTTTGCTGATCCTACTTTATTCCAATCGTATACCTTTACAAAGCATTTCGCTGAAGTTTGTGATAGCTAGATTATAAAGAGGTTATAAAAGGAATAAATCAATTTAATAAATAAGAAGAGATATGATGAGGATGATCAAATCAAAGCAATAAATTTACCAATGGTACTGAAAAATCTTCATCATATAGTGGGTTCAATGTTTTCTTTAATTTTTTTGATTCAAAAACGACTTTATCGTTCAAAATGAACTTTACGAATGGATCACTTGTACCTAATAAATTATTATATATATAATTAACAAAAAGGATTGATTCTACCTGGGGGGTTTTTTTTAATCTTTAAATTAACTTACCGGAACGATCCGCAGCGGGTAAATTCTTGGCATTGACCAATTTAATATGTAAAGTTCCCATATCTAAAATACAAAAACGTTCGTCATTTGTTCCAACGAAAACAATTATTCCACAAAAATATACTGTACTCACTATTAATACTTTCATATGATTCAACATGATATTTAACAGGTATATAACTTAATCCAACATTAAGCATACAACCGTCCATTCCATTTATAGGTAACCAGACATTATTTTCTTTATCTTTTAAACACTTTTCTAGCAATTCTTTTACATTAGATTCAATTTTTCCGATAGACGACGTTGAATCCGAATGCTTTATTTTAAATGTTATTTTGGAGAAATCTAATTCTTTAATAAATACATCGGTAACTATGATAAAAGAGATTTATTTTCGTTAGGTATCGGATAAAGTCACGTGACATAACAAAAAAGATGTCGCTTTTACCTTCACCCCATTGCGGGTTTTCCAATTCAGAAACGGCCGATTTGTAAACTGGAAAAAGGTCATTGTTTATGAGTATTTCAACACACGATTTCTTTGTCTTGAATTTTGCTTCATTAATATTTACAATCAAAATTCCGGATTCTTTTCGATTTTAAAAGGCGACTTATTAGTATCCAATTTTCACAAAAAATTATTCAATTAAAATAAATATACACTCACGATATTCCAACGCGTTGAAGTCATTTTTTGAAATTTCCTCCTTAACATCTTTAATGAGATGTAAAACGGGATGAAAGCTTGCAGAATAAAATAAAGATCCTTTTGTATTGATTCCAGATATCAATGGCGCAGAACTATTAATTAAATAACCATAATTAGTAAAAAAAATTTTTCAAAAAAAAAACCAACCTATCTGTTCCAACACTCACGTGTCAATTGATTCGGCAGATGAAATCTTTCCATCATCAGTTTTTTTAACCAGATCATTTACCATTAATTCAGTAAACCCTAATATTTGATCTTTACCATTATTTTCATGGTCAAAACATTGCAAATATATCTTTTCTTCGAGAGAGTGTACAGGGACGTAGAAGTATTCGTCATCCCATGTTGGATTTAAATTGTCCCTTCGCATGTCCGTACGGCCTCTATAAGTGGAATTCAACAAGATTCTCACATAAGGATCCGATTTGCCTAGACGTACATGTGTACACGCGAATGATTATTTTTAGTCGTCGTGTCCACGGAAGAAAGTCTTAAACACCACATCCCGTCACATACCTTTGAACTGCGCCACATTCTTGATGTCATTCGCTTTCTTGATCTGAAGTTTAACAATACCGAGTGGTTCAGCTGCGCGAGAAACAAAAAAATTTTCAATTTAAAATTTAAAAACATCAAAACATTTATACAGATAAATCAATTCAATGCAATTCAATGCAGCATGAAATGAGATAAGAATAAATCTTTATATACTATAATATATATATATACACTTTTTTTTTTAAAAAAAAAAAAAATCTCTCTTATTTATGAATATATATTATATATATATATTACATACCATATCCACCATTCTCAGGAATATGATCAAGTAAAACTGGTTTCCATTGACAACTTAATTTAATTTTACCACTAGGGGCATCTTTAACGTTAAACCAATCATTTTTTGTTTCTCCGTTTAATATTGCTAGAAATTCATCAATTTTCATACTCCAACTACCAAGTAAGGGATCTTCTGAGAAATCTCTTTCATCTCTGATTATTACCGATAATTTTGCACCCGCCCTATTTGTTATAAACATCTCATAGAATTCCTGTTAAAAAAAAAAAATGAGAAAAGGAAGAGAGTTAAAGACTCATTCATAATGATTAATAATATAATATTATATTCTCACCTCCCAAATTGGATTGTTAATTCGCCTAAGTGTTTTTGTTTTATATACCAACTTTCCGTTCAAAATTATTTCAGCATATGGGTTATAAAGTCCAACTATTGATAATCTTGGATCGAGATCCTTTGCTTGATGAATATTAAATTTCAAAATTCCGATATCTATTAACGAAAGGGCAAAAGGTTAAACTTATCAATTGTAATGTCATTTAAAGCAATGAGAAATGTAAAACGGACTTACTTGATTCGGGTGCAGGTTCATTTTCTTTAATCTCGGCTATCGGATACCAAAATGCGTCAAAATTCAGTTCTCCTTTTGGTTTTCCTTCATGTAAAACTTGAACGGTACTAAAATATCAAACGAATTACGCACACGTTTATTAACGTTTTAAATTTAAGCTTCAAGCGATCCATCGCTCTTTTATGCTCACCTGTTGGAATGATAAGGGTTTTCAACTAAACTTTGCAAGAGGAAAGTAGTGCTACCAAGTAAACGATCAGCATTAATCTTCATATTAGAATCGAATAGATTGAACTTTAAAATATCTTTTGTATTATTAAGTAACAAATAATAAGTTTCGTTCCAGACTGGATTTAATGAATTGTTGATAACTTTTGTACGTGATATTTCTTTTTCGGCTATCGTAACGTCAGATGATTGTAACATTACTTTACAATACGGGTCCGATGTTCCACCAAACCTTTCGGCGTTTCTTAGATTTTTGGCGCTTTTGATGGTTAATTTCAATACTCCTATTGATGATTCTATCGGGTACCCGTACAATAAGTATTCCGGTATTAATGTAAAGACATTTGGATAGTACATCATTGGTTGGAGCGTTGCATGTATTTGTTCCCTAATATACGACGATAATCCAGGAATCTAAATTGGGGTGAAAAAGGGTAAGGATTAAGTTAGTATCAGTATTACGTTTTAACATTATCTTCACACAATTTCTTCATTTTATCCAAGAGTAAACTCACATTGCCTATATCAAATCCAAGAGTGTCGCCTCCAATTGGTTTTAATACGTAATTAATCATCGGTGGTTCGATAAAACATAAGTCAATGGTTTCAACATGAGGAAATGTTGGAATTAACTTTAATTTTACTTTCAATAATCCCGTGAATGTCATATTTTCTACTAAAACAGGTATTCCCGCTCCCACGAATCCTCTTCCTACCCGTATAGTTAACACTACTTTAGGATTGACTTTGTTTGCCAATTGTACTTTTGTCATATTCGCCAAATCATTTGGCGTAAAACTAATTTTCCAGTCCATAACCTACATAAGAAAAGATGATGTTGAGAAAATAATGATGGCATTTAATTGTATGCAAAAAGATGAAACACTTTTAAAATGCAATTTACGTACCACCTCATTATCATCAGTCTTTGGGTAAGATTTTACAGATTCAATTATAGCGGGCTTTGAACCCAGAGTAAAATTAGTTAATCTTATAGAATCCAAAAAGCTTGGCGTGGAAGCAACCAAAACACTATCAGCAACTTGAATTATCGTGGCCGATAATACGGGTTCATAAATTAACCAAAATCTACGTAAAAATTCATTTAACCATTCAACCTTTTCTTCTTCATCCTCCAACCTTTTTTTTGCAACTTGTCTACTAATATCACTTCGAGCATTTCTATAAAATCTCCTTGAAGAATTCTTCAAATACGTGGCTGAAAAGGCAAAAGACAATGAATTTTGTTGAAATTTAAGCACTGTAAATGATGTTGTACAATCAATGCATACCTATAAATGCGCATAAAACAAGAATCCAACCAAGACTTCCACCGCATAATACGATCAACCAAGTCGCAAATGTAGATGTAATAACAACACTCGAATATAACCATAAGTCATTACATTGCAACTCTTTTAAAACGTCTTCAATTTGAACCGATTCATTGGCGTCTTTCATATCAAAAACTCTCTTCCATCCAATTCTTTCCCAAATAGGAATTTCTGCTGCGGATTCGACGGCCAAATGAGGCTTGTTACTTTCAGGTTTTTCTACAGTTGTGGTCACTCCGCTAGAATTTACATCTTTTTCTTCCGCATTATCCGAAACAACGGCTTTAATTGAACTTGAACCCGTTAAACCGATTGATGCACCAATCGACTTGGACTTTTCTGTTGGGGATGCATTTTCATTTAATTCGTAAACTGGAGTATCGGAAGATTTAAGGATTTGGTTTATCTCCGATTTAATATCTTGTGACATTTTTTTTTTTTTAAAAAAAAAAAATTTGAAAAGGGGAGGTTGAATCTTTACCAAAAATTAAGGTTAATTAATCATACATATAAATTTTTAAGTCGAGGCGGGGTGAAAAATTGAAAATAAGTGGTCGTGCACAAAATATATTTTTTTTAAGAAAAAAGTAATTTTTTATTATTTTATTACTTATTTTGTTATTTATTTTGAGTACAGAAAAAGTGGTGAGCCAATGATTGTAATACGATGTTTTAAAAAAAATTTCGTAATTCTCACGTTTTATTTATTAATTTTTTTTTGACGTACTATAACGTAAAAAGAAGCGGGCATCAAGCCCTCTTTAAATATCATTGAAAAAATAGGTTATTTGAAAGTCCGAACAATTTAAAAAGATATTTCTTGTTCATCATCATGAACATCATTTTTCTTTTTTGTACGATGATATATTTATGATAAATTATATAAATTTGGTAAATTTAACCTTACCTGATTATACCAAAATCTTTTTCAGAACGCTCAGGCATTTTTTATTTATTTAGCCTCAAATATTGAATTGATGGTTGGGTTATATGGTGGGAGCGGCTGAACGGGTGATTTCTCGATTTGGACATTCATCTTTAGATCGATGATTCATAGATATGGCCTTTTTACACGAACTTAAAAAAGACTTATTGAAAAATCTCGACACGTGATTACGTTCAGAGATTTTCATGATCCCTTGACAACTTGAGAACCATACACCCTATTATCTTAATATGTACAATGAACCTCTTAAATCCGAACAAAGGAGCGACATTTGATTGGCTAGAATTATTTAAAAAACCTTTTATAATTCGCTAACCTGTAATGCCAAGACATGAGACGATTGATTTGCTGCAAGATGTATCAAAAAGATGAAAAAATAGGAATGACTTTCGGCAAGAATTTATCAGGTTTTGTTCCGAAATGTAATTTCGGAGAAGATCTCTGGTAACATAATTGTAGATCTTTAATGTAAATCAACTTCTAATCAAATCAAATCGAAATTATTGACGACGGCAAATCATTTTTGCGAAGTTGGAGGTCAAACATTTGTAAAAAAAACAATGGAAGATAAGTAGTGTACATAAATAAATAATATTAAATTCTCATCAAAGATTGGATAGGGAATTACCCATGATGATTTGGTATGCGCAAAATTTATTAAAACATCACAAAAAAATATTATTCCAAATCTGTTTGTTATCCAATTATATTATTTGTTGTTTGTCTTGTCAAAAAAAAAACTAACGACCGTTATTTGTTGATTTTCTGATTGCCACGTGATGACCATTTTTTTTGAACCAATGGAATTTGGACCAAACCAACATACATGAAATAATAACCAATGATGGACAATTTTTAATGTTTAAACCTTTATGCTTCTTATATTTATAAAAAATCCTTACGCGAGAATTATTCATTTTTAAATCACGTGCGTTAAGCATGAAAATTTTGAAAATCATACATCTCTTTAATGAACTTTATCAATTATATTAGTAAACAAAATATTATACGATTGGTATCCAAATATCCGGCTATTTGTTAAATCTTTTAATATTTTGGACAGATACTTTGCATATTTTTTTTGCAAAGTCTCTTGGTTCATTTTGGCGCCAATAGATTGTGCCTTTTCAATACTTGATTGTGCAGACATACATCAATAAACCGGACAACGAGTCTTTGTGTAATTCTTTCTCACTCGGAAGAAAGGAATTATAAGATTAAATAAAATCGTTCACTGAGAAAGAAAGACATATAATTCATTAAATTTCTTGAAAAGGATTTATCATTATAGAGATTTTTTTCTCTCTCTCTCAATTATTCTTCTTTATTTACAAATGTAACGTTTAACGTTGATGCATTATGTAATATGGCGTAAGAGCGATGGTTGTTTTTTAGACGTCAAAGCATATTGGCTGAAAACTTGCAGGTCCTTGCATTAATTAATCCAAAGTTCACAATTAACCCGTTTTTCTTTTGAATGATGATGATAATGGACAAATCATTTCTTATGAATGTAAATGCAGGGATATTAAAAGATTTTAAATTATGTATCTGCATGCCTAACATTGTTGAATGGGAGAGAATATAAAACTTTGATTAAAATAAACCCATACTTATTTTCGATGATTTTCCAATCTAGGCCCTGATTATTTTAACCTTCATCCCGCCAAAAATAAAATTTATAAATTTGATATATATATGTCTATATTTAACATCATGTATTGGTTTCATTCTGATCCAAGGCCACATACATGATCGACGGAAACTTGCATATAAAGCGCGAAAATTCAATTTAAACGGAAAGTATATGCATAACCCACTTGCTTGTCGCGTGCATTTTTCAACTTTTTTCTCTCTGATTTGAAAGAAAGTAAAAAGTTCATGTCATTTTTAAGTTGATCTTGTTCAGAACAGCCACCCATAGCTCTAGAGTTTTATTAATGAAAAGTGTAGGTAAGTAATACATTAATTTTTTTTAAAATAAACATCATAAACAATTGTCACTTAATAAATAAATAAATTAATTAAAAAAAACTATAAATATGTGATGTTATTTCGAAGAAAATGATTTTAGTGGTTAAAAATGTATAAAGAATGTTAGAAAATTACCTTTAAACGTATCCCTCCACCAAGGATAAATCCGTTATTACATCATATAATCGTATACCTCATAAAACTAATCACTTCATTTTTTTCATTTTTTTCACATTACCGTAATTAACATAGTCTACGAAATGACAAATATGAAAACCAACATGAGTATTACTCAAACAAAATCCACAAATAACATGCATCATCCTCTTCTAATTAATTCCGCAGAGAATCAAAACGATGATGGATTTGACGAATTCATACTTGATACATTTCGATACATTGGTGGCAGGAGATATCATAATGTCGTCGATTCAAAGTATTACTTACCAAACGATTTAACCGAAATAGATCGTTTGGAGAAACAACACTATCTTTTTCGTCATATTTGGCAAGGTAATTTTTCTGCTCCTGTACATGAACATTTACGAAAAAAAGAGAATCATGCTTGTGTGCTTGATGTTGGGTAAGTTGTTTTTTCCTTCCAAGTGGTTACGAAATCATCAACGTGACTTTTTTTGCTTACTCTTTTCTTCTTTCGTTCTCCAGATGCGGTCCAGGAACTTGGGTAACCGAGATGGCATATGAATATCCTTCTGCTGTATTTGTGGGAGTTGACATCTCACCTATCTTTCCCTCAGAACTGAAAAAGCCTGAAAATGCGACATTTCTTCAAAATATGTTGGATGGCCTCCCGTTCGAAGATGATACATTCGATTTCGTTTATCAACGTTTTCTTGCTTCGGCAATCTCAGAGGAACAATGGAAAGATGAAGTGATTTACGAACTATACCGCGTAACAAAGCCAGGTGGTTGGGTCGAATTAATGTATGTAATAATAAATTTATTATCTCATTTTTTAAAATTCCTTTTATTTACCTTTTTCCTCTTTATCATTTTGTTTCCTTATAGGGAAGCCGACTTTTTGTCACCAGAAGAAAATGAGGCACCGACTTGCCATAAATTTTACCGAGCACGTAGGTTACATACGAAAAGTTAATTAATTACTCTTGTATATCTTAATCTAATCACTTTTTAATACAGTAATGGATTTCCTTGCTAGTCTAGGAATTAATGGCTTTATTAGTTCTCAACTTGAAAATATCTTAAAGAGTACAAACTTATTTAAAAATATTCATTGCGAAGAACGTTCAACGCCAATTGGGCAATGGGGTGGTAGACTCGGAGAAATTGTAAATGTTTTTTTATTTAAGAAAAAATTGATTCCCTCTTTTTTTTTAAGAAATGGTTTCTAAAATTTAATTGTAATATTTATTTAGATGTGTAATGACATGATCGATGGCGTCGAAGCCTGTAAACCCACCTTATCACAATTTATGGGGATTTCACACGAGGAATTTGATTCCATGTTGCAAACCATACGTATAGAAGTTAATCAAGGACGATTTTATTCTAAGACCCATAGGTAAGAAGAATTTCTGTAAATCCAAAATTACCATTTTCGTCATTCCTTTTATTTATTTTATTTTATTTTTTAGATTCTATGCCCAAAAAATTTAAAGGCCTTAATTCATGATTTAAATAAATTATAATTATTATTACTACTATACTGTTATTATTATATTTAAACAAAAAAAGAAAAAAAATATATTCATACGACGGTATGAAATATAATTTTTTTTTTTCGAGTTTTAAATTTCTAAGATTAAGTAAGCTCTTAAAGAAAAATTTTTATGTTATTAGGCTACATAAATCGATATTTTAAGATTATGCTCATTTACATTTAAAAAAAAAAAAAATTTGTAAAAAAAAAAAAAAAAAAAAAAAAAAAAAAAAAAAAACCATAAATTTTTATTTTTAATATTTTTAATATAAATATATATATATCGAAAGATTTAAATGATTTATTTCTACGCTGTGCGTATATAAATTTCAATTACGTAAAATCAAATTTTTTATCTTTATTATAATAGCATTTTTTTTTTGCTTTATTGTATAAAATTAAACATTCATAAACGAAAAAATAAATGAATATAACTTTTAAATCGATTAAATAAATATTTGAAAATAAATGTATGAATTGTAAAACGAACATATTGTAAAATAATTGTAGACAATGCGAATTTTAAGAAAATTTATTTTTAACTAGAAATATAAACAAAAATAATGCTAAGTGAATTAGTTACTAGTATTACAAATAACTTCACTAATATTGGACATCATGTTGCTTTTCTCAAACCACTATTATATAACCAAACTTTTTTTACTCAAATTTTAATAACATTTCTAGTAACCAATTCATCAGCAATTGTATTCACTTCTTCGTCACAATTTTTAAACTATAATAGTATCTCTATAGTATATTTATCACTAAAAATATCAATCCTTTAGATACACCAAAGTCAGTAGAAGTAATTTATTATAGTATAACA